TATCACTGGCATCACTTGTGCCATGTCCCCTTCCAAACCTGGCTTGAATTTCTGGGAGCTATCTGGAATAGATGCCCCCAATTTCTTTCTAAAATATTTGTTAAATATTCTGTGGTTTATTTTGAACATGACAATATCCAGATTTCAAACTTTTAATGCAATGTTAAGACAATATTTTATTGAATATTTTAAACAAAAAGGAAGATACTTTTGAGGAAACAAAATCCTATGATTTTATGTAACTGCTCTTTTTCTTATGCCCCTGGTAATGGTCCTGACTGTTCTTTTCTCTTACAATGGTAGGTCCACTATGTTCACTTTGACTGCTATGCCCCTCCTGAGCCTATCTTTCAGTCATTGTCTCAGACAATAGGTTCAATTTGATCTTTTTAATGTTAATATTTAATTTCATAGAATTTACAGATATGAACTTAAATCATGGGCTACTAATTTTTTAAATGATTGCATCTGTAGTTAGTGGTTTAGTTTGTTTACTTTTAAATTGCTCCATCCATTAGAATTAAATTCCATACTGTACAGTACAATTAATTGCTGGCTCAGAGATGTGAGTGTGTCTCAAAGTAGAACCACATTCGTTAAGTATTCAAGACCTGACTAGATGTAGATCACCAGGCCCATCTGCAAAGGCATACAAAGCACCTTCTTCCCTCTCACTGTGATTTTCCTACCATTAATGCTTAGCATCCCTGTGGTATATTTGATACAACTGATACACCTATATAAATATACTTTCATTAATTGAAACTGGTAGTTTATATTAGAGTTCACTCTGTCTTATAAAGTTCTGTGTTTTCACAAATGGATATCATGTGATCTCCACTACAGCATCATAGAGAAAAAAATGTACTGTTCTAAAAATGTCCTTGTTTCACCTTCTCCCTGCCAAACCTAAACCTATGGCAACCACTAATCATTTTACTCTCTATATAATTTTAGCTTTTACAGAATGTCATTTTGTTGTAATCACAGAGTGCACTGAGTGAGCAACATGTATATAATTTATTTCATTTATTTCTAAGGTAAAGTCCCTCATAAGTTATGATAGCAGACGTATCATTGGTTTCCATCACAATGTGCAATAAATTTAAGTGCTCTGGAATTTTGGAAAGAGAGAATTTGGTATGGCCTTGATTTTATTTAATTTGTTTTGTTAGCATTTCAGTTACTGCAAGTTTGAACTACAATCTAGTGGGAATATGAACTCCTTCTGGGACAATTTCTCTAGGAGACTTCATTAGTTGCAATAAATAACTCTGAATGTGAGAGAATTGCTTCAATTAGAGATTGCTGATTTCTTAAGAAGCGATCAATTACCCATCTAAGCCAAGGAAGGTTAAAGAGAAGAACTGTGTTGGTCAAATCACTATCAGCTCTTACTGAAGGTGCTTTTTCCATGGTGAAGTAATTGTCAAAATTATTTTTATGAAAACAGTAGAGATAGAAAACCATCTTTATGGGAAGATTAAATTAAATTTCCTTAGAAAGCAGGATGTAAAGTCATAGAAGCTCAGTGGCAATATAGAGTGAAGGTAAAGGAGGTGGGAGAAGGTGTTACCATACTAGAAGATTGAATAGGGATACAGAAGTTCCAGGCTAAATGATGAAAATCCATTGAATGTAACCAAAGGATCAGGATTTTCTGAGGTAAGAATAGAGATATTATATTTTAAGGAAATATCGAGTTGTCATCAGGTAGCTGAGAAAAGACATTATAGGATTTCGGAGACATGAATATTGTAACATACTTAAGTATAGTAGTTAAATACATTTGGATCCCTAGGAATATTCTGTGCAATATCGTTCTGTTATGGCCAGTAATCCTCTACACAGAAAAAAAAAGGAAATTCAGCACAAGCATTATTAGAAACCTATCAAGCTGATAAATAGGAAAATTTATATTGTCTACCTCATAATATACTTTTTTTCTTCTACTCTAAGTTTCGGAAAATCTATTCTTGAGTTCTAAATGCATCAATTTTGAGAGTATGGCCCTAAAACTTGTTCCATATCATAGCTTCAATGGGTTCTTGAACAACTGCTGATTCCTATGTCTTTGTTAGGGGTTTATAAAGGATATGACTAAGTAGAATCTCTAAACTAGTGATTGAAATGTATTTAGACATAATCTCCTAGGTGATCTTGCATAAGTGTTGAACTGCTAACCACAAGGAGGTTGATTCAAACCAACTAGCTCCTCTGAGGGAGGCAAATGAGACTATGCTGTTCCTATAAACGTCTACAGCTTTCAAAACCTCGGTTGCTCTATGTTGACATAAACTTCGTGCAGTGGGCTTGGTTTGGGATTCATTTTCTATTCCCAAACAACACTGGCTATCATTTTGAAAGGTGTGTAAGCTCTGATCCTAATTTTAAAGACATTCAAAATCACGCTAAATAAGAGAGCCTCATTTAGGTAAGAATTATAATATGAAATACTGTTTGTAAATTTCAAATGTAGGAAGATGGCAGTAATCATTGTAGAGAACTAGTGATTGGAGAAATTATGAGATGAAACCATTATGGGGCCTTTTAAAAGAATTTTCAACATAAAGTTGTCTTTAAGCAATAGAATTAATTACCATTGGTAAAGATAAGGAATGAGTATATGTGATAATTTGAGTAGGAGATACATCATAGTTTTTTTGATAAAGGTCTCACCATGTTATCTACCGTGGAGTGACACAACAAACGAGAATGGAATAGAGAATGGCAGGAAACATCAACATTATTAGAAACAAAAGACATTCTCATTCGAAAGAACCAGGAAAAAGGCATAAGGCAATTTAAGATAGAAAATAGAAGTCTCTATGAAGAACTTTATAACAGTAGTCACAATGTTTTTGATATAGTATTGATGATGGTGATGTTAACAATGGCCAGATCAGTGTTTAAGACATTGGAGAAAGGTGGAAATAATGGAGCTAAAAGTAGATTTCAAAATACACTTATCAAAGTAAGGACACTTTGTGTTATGTGCATATAGGATCATGTAGCCTATTTGCTTGTGTACACATATGTGTGGTATGCAGTATACTGCATAGATCCGAATTTGGTTTATATAGGATTGTTTTCTCTTAGTGTGTTGAGCCGCAGCGTATTGAATGATTGTATGAGTATTATGCAAATAGTTGGTGAGATTGGCTAACCCAATCTTTTATTCATCATGCCAATATTTTTTCATAATACTCTTTGTATACCTAAATGAATACATAAATCATATATTTTATTTATTATTCTAAATCCTTAGAATGTCTGAATCTTCATTGTTGTTGTTGTTGGGTACTGGTTAACCAGCTTTATGTGCAACAGAATAAAACACAGCCTGACCTTGCTCCATCTTCACACTTGTTTTGTTTAAGCCTGTTGTTACGTCTGCTATGTCGATCCATCGTGTTGAGGGCCCTCCTGCTTGTCACTTCTCTTCTAGTTTACTAAGCAGGTTGTCATTTTCCAGGGACTGGTCGCTCTTGAGAACATGTCTAAGGTATGAGATGAAGTAGCAGCGAATGGTGGGAATCCTTATTAGGATTTGTAAATTACGCTTATATTTACTTCTCTTAACAAATTGTGCTTTGTATTTTCATTTTTACCACTCATACCATGAAAAATCAGAGGACGATCCAGTAGGCACCTGAAGTCATGGAGATGTGAATGGAAGAGAGGAACAGAATAGGCCTTCACATGGACAGATGAAAACATATAAATTAAGATTCATCTAGTATCTTATCCTTAATAATATAACTACATCTATTTTAAAACAGCACAGAAATAACTGTCCTTAGTGACCATATCTATTATTAAAAACTAGTTATTAATAACTAAGTATTACTAACTTATAATAATAGTTGCTTGTCACAATCAAACTGCTCTTCCAAAAGAATCACATTAATCTCTATTTAATTTGGGACTCTGCTTTCAAATAATTTATTCTACTTTGCTTTGATTTCATGTTTTCTGAATAAAAATGCTGCTCCATTCTATTACCTATCTCCCAAACAATCCATTGTAGTTACAACTCTGGTCTACATTTCAATTAGATAAATTTTGAAATTAAAAAAAATTACATAAATATATTCAAACACACATAATTAATATCTTCTTACTCTTCTCTATAGAATAAAGAGTTATATGCTAATATGTTTCCCTCAAAATATGTCATTTTACATTTACTGAGGGATAGTAAAATATTTATGGTTTTAAATCTATTTTATTTATATTTTGACACACAAAACATATTTCAACTGTTTCAATAAATCATCTGTGAATGTTTGAAATTATTATATGTCTATGTCAAGTTAATAATTAATAACTATAACAGCTTTCATAATTTTATCTTTCACTCTTATTTTGATGATTATGTTCCTTTTAAAGGTTAATGTAATAAAAAATGAGATATAAAACATTAAAAATGAATCGTATCTTATGCAAGACTTTTGAATGACTTGTGGGTTATTGAAATATTCTGTTTTGTTTTTACATGAAGAAATATAAACATGCTTCCAGATGCCAGATTATATACAGATATGAATTTGGTAGGGGAGAAAGAACAATGATTCCTTTTAGGTTGTTTGGAAAACAGATTGAATATGAAAGTATGGTTAAACATAATTAGATAAGATGAATAGAACTTCCAAATATGAGAAAGACATCCAAAAATGAAATATTTCTAAGATTTAAAACTAAAAAGGAACTTATGTTCCTAATTTTCATTGCCATTTGATGAATGATTAAGGGTTTCCAACCAAAGGAACTTAACTTTTACATTTACTAGCAGTTTTCTAAATTCTAACTTCTGATAGCTATTCAGAGAGACTTAGAATTTTTGTAAAGATAAAGTCCTTGCTGTAAAGATGCCTTGTGTTTGAGCTGCCCAAAATAAATTAGATGCATTTTGCTTTTCAATCTTCAAACCTATTATGTTTTCTCCCAATAGGAGCATCTGGAAACTAACTTGAGGCTGGATGCCAAGAAATACCCTAATGGGTCTTATAAATAGCAGCTGGTTTCAGCCACCAACTCTCCTTCTAACAGGTATCCCTGGTCTGGAGGCTGTACAAGAATGGATCTCGATTCCACTGGGTGTCATGTACCTCATTGCCCTGCTAGGGAACTGCACCATCCTCTTTGTTATCAGAACCACTGCCAACCTTCATGAGCCTCAATATATCTTTCTGTCTATGCTAGCAGCTACAGATGTGGGTCTGTCATTATCAACTCTGCCCACAGTACTTAACGTCTTCCTTCTGAATCACAGAGAAATTGAGTTCCATTCTTGCCTGACACAGATGTTTTTCATACATGCTTGTTCATCCGTGGAATCAGCCATTCTGTTGGCCATGGCTTTTGATCGTTTTGTAGCTATTCGTGACCCGCTGCACTACACTGTGATCTTAACCCCTGCTAGAATTACTGTGATGGGACTTGTGGCTGTGGCTAGGGGTGTGGCTTTAATGGTCCCATTGCCAATCCTACTCAAGCGATTGCCATTCTGCAAGGGTGTGATTCTATCTCATTGTTACTGCTACCATCCTGATGTTATGAAATTGGCCTGTGGGCCTGTAAGAATCAATATAATCTATGGGTTGTGCCTTGTTCTCTGCTCCTTTGGAGTTGACTCTGTGTTCATTATAATTTCATACATTCTGATTTTGAAAACAGTGCTGGGTATTGCCTCAAAAGATGGTCAGGTCAAGGCACTTAATACGTGTGTTTCCCACATCTTTACTGTCTTCATCTTCTATGTGCCACTCATTGTTCTGGCCTTAATTCATAGATTTGGCACGTTCACATCTCCCCTTCTCCATGTAACCATGGCAAATCTCTTCCTCTTCTTGACCCCCGTTCTTAACCCTTTGGTTTATAGCCTAAAGACCAAACAGATAAGATCATCATTGCAGAAGGTATTCAAGGGGACGGGAAATCTGCTGCAGTAATCAAGTTGATTTTAATTAAAAAAGATATCCTAATTGTTTCTTTTTAGTCGAATATGTCATTTGGGGTATGTTTTTGTTATAATTATTAAGTTATTTATTCCCCGTGTAACACAGCAACATTGATATTTTAGCTTTGATGTTAACTGAATTCATTATAAACAAAGTTGCATGAAGGCGCTTTCTAAATTATTAGTTTTCCTTTGGTATCTCTTCCCTTGTATGTATTTAAGTGCCCACAGTGAAGCAGTTACCAAGTGTCCAGAAAATAGAAGCAAGGTCATTGACATACTCTAGAAAGCTTTCGGGATTTTCATTCTTACGTATTTTACAACCTCAATTCCAACTGAACAATTCCTCTTCTTCCCAATGTATTTTTACAAACGTTTACCAGCTTATACATGATTCCAGGTCTTACTACTCTTACAATTACTGCATTAAGGGCTAATGAAGTTATAAAAAAACAGAGTTCAAGATCATTATATACACAATCTTGAAATAATGGTAATCTAAAAGTAGATACATGTATAGGTAAGCAGGTTTATCTTTCCATGGGTTTAGGATGGAGATGGATTTCTGCCCAAGGATATATATAGGTGTGACAGGGAAAATTTGCTCATGTGTATTGAGCTTTACTGAAAATACATTCATGAATATCATGAAACATACTGCATGCACAGACATGAAAACGTCTTACTCAAACAACCAAAGATAATGTGTCTCACAACCAGGATCTCAGGATCACCAAAGTCAATTGGTATAACACAGTACACAAAGTCAGTGTTCTACATCCTACTTCGGTGAGTATTGACTGGGTCCTTGAAAGCTCATGAGTGATCATCTGCAGTACATCTAGAGGAAAGAAGACTGAACAAAATAAAAGATTCATGGAAACAATTAGTGTAATACACTAATGAATTGCGCAAACATCAGCTTTCATGACCTGGAGATTATGTCCTGCTACCTCTACTAATCGCTCTGAGGGGATCACATTAGAAGGTCCTGGATAGTGTGTGTATGGGGGTGGGGGTTGGCAGGTTGGGATATGGAGACAAATTCAAAATTATGAAAAGACCAGACTTACTGGGGGAATTCCCTTAGTTGTCATCATCATTCAAAATTCAAATCCAGAAATCAATATACTCCATGGCTCAATTTTTAGCGAAACTGCCATCAAGTCACTTTTCACTCGCTGCTACCCTATTAGGCAAAGTGGAATTGCTTCTGTGGGTTCCAAGACTGCCATTGTTTGTGGGAGTAAAGTACCTGGTCTGTCCCTTGTGGAGCAGCTTGTGATTTCGAACAGCTAACCTTGCAGGTAGCACCCAACTTGTAACAACTAGGCTACAAGGCTTCCACACAGATGGATCCAAAAAAGTAACAATGACTCTAGGGAGATACGCACACCTTAGAATAATCAACTGGGATGTCAGTAAGGAGGCAGTTTCCCAAGGACAAAATTCATAAGGATGAGGTAAAAAGGAAAAGGATGAATGAAAATAGGAAATACAGGGAGGAAGTGAGATAAATTATGTTATATTATGGGGATTGTGTATGGCAATCATTACCTTAAACAAAATGTGTGAAAATTATTCCATGTAAAACTGGCTTGGTAAACTTTTACACAGCTTACAGCAAAAATTACAAGTTTTAATGTTTACCTAGAATTGACTCTTCCAATTGTTTTTCAATATGCCACCTAATTTTGTAGTATTCCAACATTACAACAAGGGTTTTCTTATATCTCCATACAAGTGTTTTTCAATTAATTATTCATCATTTTGGGAAATGCTGTCCTAGCTGCTCCCTGAAATCCTGCTCGGCACTATAACCAGTGGCACAGTTCCCTGTGAATTATTTTTTATTTTTGAATAAATAAATGCTTTCTATTACAACTTTGTAACATGTTAATGTAACTGCTATTTAGCATGGCCTTTTTTAAAGAATGAAGACCCTGTTTGTTTCATTTTTTACGGTATCATCAGAACCTAACAGAATATCTGAAAAATTATACAAAATAAATATGTAGTGATGAGTGAATCAATTGATATGTTAATTGACATGTAACTGAAGCTATGCTGAACCTCCAAAGTATAGCTTAAATGTATAGATTAATATACATTTATATAATATAAAAGTATAGTTTAAGTATTGTTTAAATAAGATATAATCAGAGGCATCTTGACAACAAATTATTCAGAAAATGAGGGAGGTATATTGAGGTATCAAATGTGCATCTCAAATTATTTTAATTACAATACCACATCCATCTTTTGTCTTATAATATAAATAGGACAAATTTTATTAGCTCTAGTTTATAGACGTGATGGGATAGTTCATTTTATGTTAACTATGTGAGCCTATGATTCTCAGTCGTTCAGTCGTTGAGGCCTCATAATACCCCATAATGTGACTTATTATGATATCATCAACTCCACGGCAGGATCAATTGTGAGCCGCCAAACAGCTGTGAGTAGATAAGGTGACATGCAACCCTCTTATTCAGGCCACAGCCCTGATGCAAATGAAGTTTCCTGAGGGCTGTGGATTGTTTTCTATGTAAGTAGAATCTGTGGAAAGGCTTTCTTGCTTTTGCTGGGTTTGGATCTACCATCTGGATCAACAACTTCTGGTTATTTGGACTTGAGCCAATGGCCTGCCATATTGCCTGCTGATTCCAGAAGTCATACGCAGTCTGCCTTTGACCTTGGAGTCAGTCACAAGTCTGATCTGCTGACCTTGGATTTATCTGCCCCTGTAGTGTGATATCTGCCCCTAGTGTTCCTTTCTGATAATACTATGTTTCTCAGCAATGTTTCTAATCAATATTTCCTTTTGTCTTATATAAGATCTCCATATATGGAAACATATATGAATTATTTTGGACCATTATCAATTATTATTATCATTTTAAGATAATGTTGCTTGTCCTTATGTTCACTTAAATGATACTTAATATGATTTTCCTAAATCAAGGAAAGAAATATTCGCCTTCATCAAAGATATAATATTTTGATTATAAGCCTATGCATGCAAGTAATGTGCAGTGCTCACATAAACAAGCAGTAGAAATAACAGTTTTACTCACATATACTGCTTCTAAGGTTTTTAACTCTAAAACATATTTTACCAAGAGCTACAATCAAAAACTAAAATTGCCAAAATATATAATGACACCATATAGAAATATTTATAATAGAAAAGAAGGAAAACAGAGAGCAAAGGAAGTAAGAAGAGAAGAAATATGAGTTTAAGTAAAAAGTCTTGCTTCCAGGGTTCCAGCTCAAACATGCGGAGGTCTACTCTAAAGAAAGCATGTGTAAACATGTCTCTACTCTCCATGGAGGCTACAGACTCGTATTCCCAGTAATACACTTGTCTTAATCTTATTAGAGGAACCCTGGTGACATAGTGGGTTATCCCCTGGGCTGCTCATCACAAGGTGGGCAAGTCAAAACCACCAGATACCTTGTTGCAGAATGAGGAGACTTTCTACTCCCATAGCCTCAGAGGCCTACAGGGGCAATTCTACTCTGCCCTATAGTGTCACTATGAGTCAGAATCATTTTTTTTCCTATTTGAACTTCAAATGAACTTCAAATTGTAACAAATATTTGTTAGCCCAATTTTATAGCAACAAATTTTCGTAAAGATCTTAAAACTGCTTGTATACCTCAGGACACTGCTGAAATAAAACTTTACAATTTTAAGTGTTCTATATTTGTTTTATTTAAATTTCTCTCTTTAAGATTTTTCTAAAATGTCTACATTCTAATTAGAAACGCTCAGTAATTGAATTGATTCCATCCACACTGATTCTATAGGATAGAGTAGAATTTGCTCCCCAGGGTTTCTGAGATCACAAAGCTCTATGGGAACATACAGGCTGATCTTTCTTTGAGCAGTCAAACACATCCACTGTGTCAACCCATCACAATGAGGGTTGTGTTAGTTACAGAATCTGGTGTCAATTTGGGGATTGAGAGGATTTACAGTGAAGGGGTGGAGTCTAGTCTGTCAATCGTATCATAGCCAATGAGGCCTCTGTGTGGGCAAGGCTCTCTCCTGAGAATTCTGGGATTTTCTAAATTTCCTCCTTGGAGGTGAGAGGTACTCTCTCTGTTCGCTTCCTGCAAGATATCCCTGAGGAGAAGCCATATGGACCTAATTTGATGTATCCCTGGGAGGAGCCACATGGAGACCCCTGCCAGCACTGAGATGCTTCTACTGCCACTAACTTTTCACCTATGGGCCTGTGATCATCCTGCACTCAGCATCAATGCATGTGTTTTGTGAGCCTGAAGAGGACTTTATAGATTGGTATCAGACATACGGGCTAATATCGGATTTATGGACCTGATCTTGACTGGGTTGGGATGTTATCTTAATGTACAATTACCCTTTATATAAAACTCTCTCTTATACACATATGAGTTTCTATGGATTTGTTTCTCTAGTCTACCCAGAGTAACACAAGCGTCTTCCTCTTTTTTTCCTGACCCTCTACTTTCCCAACAGCATAATGTCCTTTTCCAGAGACTGGTCCCCTTTGATAAAATGCCCAAAGTACATTAGAGTAGGTCTCACTATTCTTGATTCAAAAGAGCACTATTGCTATACTCCTTCCTATAACTATATTTCACTCTTATTGGGTCCATTCCAATTCATAGTGACCCTACAGAGAAGAGGAGAGTAGCCTCTGTAGGTTTCTTAGACTGTAAATCTTTAAAAAAGTAACATTTCATCTTTATGTCTCACAGAAACTGGAGGTTTTGAACTGCTGACATTATAATTAACAGCCCAACACAAAACCGACTACACTACTGGGCTCCTACAGCTTTGCTTGTTGTTCTGATAATCCACATTACTTTCAATATTATTTGTCAATATCATAATTCAAATGCATTCTTCAGTCTTCCTTATTCATTGTTCAACCTACACTTGCATATGAATCATTGAAAATGCCATGGCATGTATCAGGTGCATCTTAGTCCCCTAAGTGA